CCCCTAAAAGATTAGATATTGTTTGGAACATCCTCACGGGATATCTAAGAGCTCTTACTCAGCATGTCTACATATCACATGTCACATAAAACAGTTATGAAATAGATACTAAGTCTGACTTCCTCTAAAGATTAGGTGTTCTCCAAGAAGTAACTTTAGGATGATTGGTTTGGGATGATCTCTGTTCATTTTCACTGGAAGAATAGCATTGTAACTTAACAGTGTTATTTGTTTTTACAGAAACAAAGGCTTGCTAAGTAATATTCTCTGAAGAGAGTTATGCACACAATTTAAAGATATTTTATTTAAAGATATTTTGCATAAATGCAAAATAATCTTCAATCATTATAAATTCAGTATCCTGATGCTCAGAGCCTTCTTATATATTTGCTTAAAATGAGACAATGTGAAGAGGTGGTCTTTGAGCAAAATATGAACATTTCCTATGTATTCCATAAAATTTAACGGAGCTTTTCATAAATGTCACATTGGAATAGAACAGCCACCTGGAAATCTAGATGCCCTTATGAAAGGATTTGCTATAGGCTGTATTTATTTTTTTCTGCTTTATAATCTCCACAGAAACAATGTTATATGTATAGAGAAGCACTGGGAATATTTTGCCAGGATCTCTGTTGGGTTCAGAGTTGCTTTTCAAAATTCTTGTTTGTATTAGGAGTGTATGAAGAGACCAGAGACCTGCAGACAGAAGGGTTACCTTTGCTAAGCCACTCCTGGTTCTTATATCCTGGACATGACTCCTCATCTCCCAATTAGAGTTCCTCATCTATAACATAGGAGTAATACTACCCACTTCACAAACTTGTGAAAATTAAATGATTAAGATACATGATCTCACTTATGTGTGGAATCTAAAAAAGTTGAATATATAGAATCAAAGAGTAGAACAGTGGTTACCAGTGGTGGAGAGGTGGAGGAAATGGGGAAATGTTGGTAAAGTGTACAAAGTTGCAGTTGTGTAGGATGAGCAAATCTAGAGATCTACTGTACAGCATAATGACTATAGTTAATGATTCTGTATTGAGTACTGGAAATTTGCTAAGAGAGTAGATTTCAGGTGCTCTTATCATTAAAAAAATGGTAACTATGTGAGAAGAAGATATCTTAATTAGCTTGTCTTTAGTAATCATTTCACTATGTATATGTATATAAAATTATCATGTTGTATGCCTGAAATATACACTCTTATTAAATGTTTAAAAAAAATGGAAGAGCTTTAAAAGTAAAAAAAGAAGAAAACATAAAAAAGAAATCAGAAACTGTCAGAACCAACTCTGTCAGATCTCTGGAAAGTGGTCAGAGGTTTACAACAACCAAGCAAATGCTGAATCAAGAAAAAAACCCTTAAAACAATAGGAAATATGTGTGGCATTTTTACGTGCACTTGCCTGACTCCCTCTCCAGCTTGGCAGCAGTCTTGAAGATACAATCCATGCTCCCAGTGTGGGACATACATCCCTAGTTCCAGAGGGAGCAGAGCAGACCTTCCTCACAAATTTTGGTGTAAGTCTGTTCTAATCTGTCTGGGCATTAACTGAAGAACTGATGTGAGGTACTCATCTCTGTTCCACCTAACTCAGAGCTCCCCAGGCATAAAAAGCAATGGGCATTTCTAAAAAATGTTGTAAGGGAGATAACTCTCAGATGCCCGAAGAAAAAGATTACAGTTAAGGCATAAAATATGCTGCCTAAGGCCAGGGACAAAAAGCCAGAGAGA